ACTGAGAAGTAACAGTGCTGGTTGCCTGAGAGTCAAAAGCGCAGAGATCTGATGAGGCGGGAATCATCAGCGAGGTGAGAACCAGCACAGTGGGCTATTCTGCCATCAGGCTCTCACACTGGGACACTGGCAGGACGGCATGCCCATGTTTGGTGTGAGGAGGAAGTAGAGGTGTATAGGTGGGTGTGCGAAGGAGGGGGAATTTGACTTGTTGAAAGGATATATGAATAGTACTGTTTTGAAATCCTAAAATAGGACATGTCAACACTCACTGGAATTTTTTTTTATACCTCTCCTTTCTTGCAGCATCAGACTGTGTTACAGCCTCACACACTGCCTGTTTTTCAGCTGCAGGAAATGACAGCCTGCGTCCATCTTTACATCCAGCCGTCCTTTGAATTCCCATCTGTCATGTGTAGCCATTGTGTCACTAGTCCTCTTGATCCCTCAGTCTCCAACTGTCCAGTTTTTTCTTAATGGATGCCCAATCCTATTATAATGATTTCCTGGAAAGCTCTGCAGAGACAGAGACAGAGACAGAGACAGAGACAGACTCATATGGGGGACATATGACTAAAGATGAGACATACTTTCTGCGTTTGACGCAGGATGATGGACATGTGGTCAGTACCTGACATTTAGGACACTCGGATCGTCCTGAGCATTTTTTCTGGGAATTTCTGGGAGTTTATCCTACAACACCTCCTCACTGTGACCTCGTCACATGTTGACGTTTGGTTGGGTGGGTTTAGCAGAAAAGAACAGGGTTTGGCTTTACAGTCTTACAGGAAGTGAACAGCGGCCTCCTGGGTGAAAGTCCGTGGTTTTGCGAGATGTGTTCAACATATCATCGATAACTCACAAACACTCAGACTGCAGGTAGAACCTTATCGTTCTCAGGTGGCGTGTTGCATCACCACGTTAATATCAAGCTATGAAAGCGTCCGTCTATGAAAGCCTTTTTACGTTCATGTTCACATTTTCATGTGATGAACAATAAGTTGTCGCAGCTTCTTCCTCTTCCTGCACTAATGCGTGCGCCCCGAGCGTTTATAATTCTACAGAGGACGGACAGAACTGCAGAGTGATTTTAAAATGTTTGTTCCTCACTCTGCTCTGACATTTTCTTTTGAATTGTCATCTGAAATATTAAAGAGTGCCAGTGAGTCAGCAGAAACAAACTCATTCCCGTATAAACCTCGATCATCTTTGAAGCATGGCACGAAATGGCAGCACTTTCTAAATGCCACTCCTGCTTTTACAGACATGAACCAACACAAACTACGGTACGTGAAAAATTTCCCAGCTGCTGTTCATCATTTGATTTTGACCACAGTGAAAATAAGTGATGAAGAGAAAACACCAAGACTTTAAATAATCAAGTTTAATTTCTTTATAATTTATAATTGGACTGTAAAAAGCACCAGATGTGTCACCAACAGTTAATGTGATTAGCAGAGAATAATTCAAACGCTGCTTATGTCACAGTGTTTACAAACCTCTTTTCTTAAATTCTTCCGAGCGTGAAAAGTCATGAGTCAGACTCGTCCTGAGCCCTGTGTTGCATCAGGCTTTTGCAGAACACATTTCTTCTCGTCAGCAAAGCAAAAGCATGCAACAGTTTCCTGTTTGTGGTCTGAAACGAAGCCAAACAGGGCGAGTGAGGTCTGACGACGTTGGGAAATTATTAACGTTGTTTACACTGTAAGAGACAGGCAGACCTGCTGCCTGTGGCTGCAGTCACAACAGGCAGTGCTGCCAGTCGCAGCTTGTCTGGGCACGATGTAGGATTGAGACCCTCGGGGAACGGTCTGACTGGTTCCCTGGGTGCCTCGCACAAACGTTCTTTCTTTTCTCTTCTTGCAGTGAAGCAAGCTCTGCTCGAGGCTTTTAGAGACTCTCTGCATTTATGTCTGACATTAAAGTTAGAAACATGTAATCATCAGAAAGTGGCCACGGATTGGAGAGTTGTAGATTTAATGGATGGGAACTTTCTCTCTCTCTGACATTTTAAGACGTCTGTGATTCAGAGAAGCAATCAGGGAAAACCCAGTACATGAGAAAGGACTGGAATATGTTTAGGTGTTCAGCTGGCACCAGCCTGCCTGGATCAGGTCAATCAACTCTCAGAGCGCCACACTAACCTGCATGATTAGCCATGGAGAATGAGGCAGAAGAGTTGATTCAATTTTGGGTCTATTTTTGTGTGTAGCAGCAGACAGCAGCACATGAGCAGAGTGCAGCCGTGAGAATATTCACTCCTTAATCACAGAGTTGTTTGTTCCCTCTGCTTCCCTGCTCCAAGCCGCTCCAGGACGCTCAGTTTCATTTTGAAAGTACTTTGTAAACTTCATGTTGAGCCTGCAGCAGCCGGTTTATGACGGAACATACTCAACCCAGTCACCAGAACAAACATTGCCATTTTAAATGAATGCAAACCAAATATATGTTACATTTGTACGTTATTATGTAGCAGCTATGTTGAAACTTCACATTTCAACAACACTGTAGTTGATGTGCTGTTAAGCTTTGGCACAAAAAACTCTATGGGTTTGGTTCAGAGAGCATCATGTTCTGGCTCAAAATACCTGCTGTGGGGGCAACAATCTCTGCTGGAAAATGCAGCGATGACTCTGCAAAAAAAAAGAAGAATTTTTCAAAGCATTATCTCAACTGGAAACACAGCTATTGCTCACTAAAAAACAACTGTAATTTATGGCACAATCTCAGCAGAAACAACCCAGTCAGACACCGACGAAAAAGCCGTTCTTCAAAGTCGGCATAATACGTGGCTGATTGTCATCATGGTTTAACAGCACCCAAAGGAGTCGGGGAAACACGGCGGGACAAGAATGAAAATAAGGAGTGTATTGGAGTGAAACTGTAGCCGATAACGTCTGGGCCACACTGCCTGTGTGAGCAGCACATGACGGCTACCTTGCTGTGGCGTTCACAGAGACTGCTGCAAAGCATTCAGTTGCTGTAAGTTCTGTATTTCCACAATTAAAAGCCAGAACTCCACAAATTTATGAAGCTGTGCAGCTACTGCATCATCAAGAGCAGGGCCCTGCCAGTATTTCACAATAAAAAGCTTGATGGTCACACATGAAGGGATTCTGTCAACAGACACATTGTGAGAGGGCTTTTAGTTTGAAACAGGAAGTGTTGAATTTAAAAGAAATACTTAAACCTGTTTTGTAGATATTTGGCCCAGCCATGCATAAGCAGCGCTGCTCACATGGGCAGCGTGGCCGCTCTAACCTGATAACATGGGCGCAGAAAAAAAATCCACACATGCTGTTCATGTAGGCAGTGTGGCCTGGGCTGTGGTCCATCCAAAATCCTTTTGCTCATGCTCCCCACTCATTCACGCTCTGCTCACACACTTTGACACAAGACCACACTGTTCAATAATCAGAATAAAAACCAATAAGAACTAAGTACAGAATAAAAGCATATTAAAAATAATGACTATCAAAATAAAAGTCTCCGTCAGCCTGGTCAGCTTCTTCAGCTCGGTCCCTGTTACCACGCTCTACAGTTAATGAGTGTAGATGAGATGCCACCGACACAGTTTATGAGCGGCTATGAGATCTGGTTCTGCTCTAGCACCTCACAAATTATCACAATGGCTGCGAAGACGAAACATTTCTCAGATTTCTCTCTAATAATTTATTTCACCAGGCGTTTGTAAAAACCTGTGAAGCTGCCGGGGCCATACGAACACATAATCTCCCATCATGTTAGGGTTTTTTTTATGAGCTGAAGTGTATTTAAAGTGAAATGTCAGATGACATCATCAGTGACCTTTGTGATCATGTCTGTAAATATTGACTATTAGGCATCACACTTTTCAAAGAGAGAGAACACAAAGGGGAATTCATGAGGGAGACAATAATGAGGAGCATTAAAGGTTTGACACTCTCAGAATTACAGACGACTCCTCTCTTATTTAACCTGGTGGAAGTGAAAGTGATTGTCATGATAGTTGTGTGTGTTTAGACAAAGATTTGTATCTTTAAGAGTTAAAAGATTTGTTGCTGGGGCAGTTTCGCTGCCCTGTACATTAAAGCAGCTTTAATCAACAGTTTTATATGTATAAAATCACAATGTGAAAAGGGTCACATGTCATGATGAAGCATATTATCACTTTAATCTGCAGTGTCTCTCAGCTTAGCAGAGCTTTATGTAAGGCAAGGTCAAACCATGCCTATTGATTTAAGTTTCCATGACCAGTTTAAACACATTGAATTGTGACGCCCGCGATAAACCATCTCTGGAGTCAGGTCAAAGCCTGCCTTAAATGGGATTATACTTCTGTATCTATTATGTGTTTATTTCACAGATAAGAAACAATAAATTGTGAAGACAATAAAGCCTCCACTAAAATAGCATTTTAAGTCTTGTGTGTGATTTATCCTGGCTTCATATGAGGAGAGTAAATCTCTGCTAGCTGCTAGGCTAATTTATACAATGTTAAATGCCATAGGCTTGTGCTAATAACGTTAGCATGTTGTATTTGTTTGGAAAACGTGTTTAGTATAAGACAGTTGTTTTGTCAGTGAACCTTGTGAGCTGTAATGGAGCCGGATTTTGTAAGGTTACCTTTGTTAAATGTTGCTGTTGTCCCTGGCTTCATATGAGCAGAGGAAAAGTCTGCTAGCCACTGGGCTAATTTATACAATGGAAAATTCCATAGGCTTGTGCTAATAATGTTAGCATGTTGTATTTGTGGGGAAAATGTGTCCAGATAAAGACAAGTGTTTGTCTGTGAATGCTGCAAGTTATAGTGAAGCTGATCTGTGAACTTGTGTTTGAAATTGTCTCTATTAAGCCATGTTTAATGTGTGTTTAATGTGTGTTTTAAATCAACTAAACTTTACAGCACTTACCAGTTTCCTCCGCTCACTAATAACCAAAAAATAAACAGTTATTGCAGGTTTAATTTTGTCTTAACATAACCTGAATACTGACCTCATACCATCTCCGTCTCCGTCCAGACTTCAGCGACCAGCTGTTGGAGGTGGTCGGCCTGGAGGGGGCGATAGAGATGGGACAGATCTACACTGGACTGAAGAGTGCCGGCCGCAGACTGGCACAGTGTGCCAACGTCACCATCAGGTCAGAACCTCCTGCCTCTCAGCTGTTTCCTCCATCTTTTCTCACATTCAATCCGTCGTCCTCCTTCCAGTCGCTTCCTGATCTCCTCTCTCCATCCTCCACCCTCCCCTCCCCCCGTCTTCCTTCTGGTCAGCCAACTGCACAAAATGAATCCATCACCATCTTCTACATGTATGATCAAAAATGCATTCCTGTGGAGTGTTTCTGTGCATGTGAAGGTTGAAATCCCTGCAGCATCCAAACAATAACACACCTGATGAATTATACATTTGAACTCTGTAAGCCATCAGAGCCGAGGACTGACTCACTGAAATGATCCGTCTGTTCAGTTTGGTTCCAGGATGCTAATGACTCTCTGATCCGTCCTCCTTATAGTGTTTTAACAGCACTCAGGTTGAAGATGTACTTTCGGATGAGGATGCATGGGTTCAAACTTATTTACTGTTTGTATAACTTTTATTAACAACAAATATTGACAGCTGACCTAAATAAATTCAATAAGGAAATAGAAAGGGTCACATTCAATTTGATACTGGCTTCAGATTCAACTATCAGAGTTCACTCAGGAGAGTACAGATCTCCAACAGGCGGACTACCTTCAGCTGCCACGCGGCATCCCAAACTGATCCTGGCCAGAAGTCTATGAAAATTCACGCCTGGTATATTTTTGACAGAGCCGCAATGAGTTGTAAATCGAGTTTTTCTGCCAACAGGAACTGTATGTGACATAGATACACTATAATTATGAGGATAAATATATTTTCAATGACCAAAACACAGCAACAGATCTTTGACCCATGTCGTTCATAGCTGTCTGTGGGCTGCAGCACACACAGCAGGAAATGACACTATAAATACTATAAAAACAGACAAAAATAAATTTAACCACATCACCCGCTTACTTACTTACATATTGACAGGGGTGTGAATCACAAGCTTCATCACTATATGATATTTGGATTCTTGACCCAAACTGGCCGAGGCGCTCTGAGCATGCTCCACAGTTTCCGCCCCGGGCTTTGGCCCAGAAGTCCAATAGCATTAAATGTGTAAGAGAAGAAGAAGCCGGTAACAACATGGAGAAATCTACATCCAGAGCCGTGACTTTTTGGACGGACCAAATGTACAGAGCTGTAAAGTTGTCCACCATGGTAGCAGTTAGCTGCTAGCTAACCGTAACTAACTTGTTTGTCCATTGTTTGGTCTGTGACGTAATAGGTCAACAGGAAAAAGGTCCAATACTAACAAGCTGAAAGGGGGCATATCTCCACCTATCGTAGAGGAGTCGCACATACTTGGCTCAATAAATGGATTCCCCTCCCGTGCTTGTATACTGGGACAAGGACAGTAGGCCAGTTAGATGTCCTCGTCAAGCTGGGACTGTAGCTCCACTTCACTGTGACTGGAAACGTTCCGAATGTTGGTATAAAACAGGTTTTTTAACCAGTGTGAATCACTGCAATGATGTGAGGTCATTGAGAACACAGTCACAAATGTGCACACAAAATATTAGGCTCATTGGTCCAGTAGTTTGCTTGATTAGCTGCAGACAGGCAGATACACACATTCACACACGACCGGAGATAATAAAATTCAAACATCCAAAGTCACTCATAGATTCATAGAAAGTTGGTTTTGTTTCTGTTGCTCCTGTCAGACAGTGAACATTGACAGCGAGACACTTACTGTACCAGAGAAGTGACATTTACAAGTTGTTCTCTCACTTGTTCTGCAGAGCGGCCCAATATTTTCCAGACCAGAATTAAAAGAGCATTCATCACAGTCATTCTCCCATACTGTGTTTCTGCAGCCGCAGAGGCATGCATCAAAGTCTTAAACCAACTCTGTGTGTGTGTGTGTGTGTGTGTGTGTGCATATATAGTGGCTCTGTGAGTTTAGAGAGTGGGGGCCTGTCTGGGAATGGGTCTCATGGGAACAAAGGGTGCAGTGTGTGACCCTGTGCTGGGACAGTGTGAACAGGCCTCTCGTGCCTCAGAGGTGTGTGTGATCTGACCTTCACAACCTCCAACCCCACCCTGTCCTCCCTCCATCCCTCCCTCTCTGCCCTCCCCCCACTTCTCCTCCTCACCCCTCTGCTCTCTCTCTCCACAGGACGTCCCGGCGGCTGCCCATGCAGATCGATGGCGAGCCATGGATGCAGCCGCCCTGCACGGTGAGAGTTAAATCAAAATGACCGCTCCCATGCTGCAAAATTGTTTTACGAGAGGGATTCTCATGGGGTCATATTTTTAAAGACCCCATATGTAGATATTTAGTCCCAGAGACACTGTACTGTACGTTAATGACTTGTTTTCACTGGTAAGACTGAAACAGAAAATGTACAAAGGTGAAGTCAGCGCTCAGAGCAGTTTAACCAGTGATTAACTGACCTGTTTATCTCACTGTATGTTTTAGAGATTAGTAACCGTATGACCAACTCCATAATCCCAAACGATGTCAAGAGTCAGTCAGAAAAAAAAAACAATCCAGGAAAAAAATTGTACTCAGTGTTACTCTGCCCCGTATTTATGTCATCTTTGCATTTTTTATTTAATATTTATTTAACCTTTATTTAACCAGAGACAGGCAGCAATATAAGTTGCAGACAGACAACATAGAACAGAAATACAGAACAAAAATATACAACAATCCCGCAGCAGAGCTTTGAAACGTCCGAGAGGAACCAACACGTGATAGATTCCACAGATCAGGAGCTGCAGACAGAAATGCTCGCTTGCCAAATTCCGTACGTTCCCTCGGTACGGACAATAAGAACATGTTTGAAAAATGCTAGCTGTTAGCTAAATCTCCCAGCGATGAGTCGTACACATAAGACATTGTCAAAACATCACCCCTGTCCTGTCAATTCGGCGCTGTTACTACCTCTACTTCCGCTCCAAGGTGGAGTAACTGCGTGACATCCCCGTCTTATTCCGGTTATGTCAAAGGGGCTGCTGATGAACTGCAGCTACATGTAACTTTTTAATGCCTGTCTATGTCACTGGCAAAACTGAAGTAGAACATTCACATTGACACAGGTGAAGTCAGCGGTCACAGCGGTTTAATCAGTAACCAACTGACCTGTTCATCTCACTGTATGTTTTAGAGATTAGTAACTCTTTGAAGGTGTGACAGCTCCATAATCCCAAACAATCACAAGGGTCAGTCAGAAAAACAAACGGATTATCCAGAGAAAATTTAGTATCCTGTGTTTCTGGTTCAACATCATATCAGTATTATCAGTAATGATCTTTAAGTGCATTGTTTAAAAACAAGACTTGTGGGTTTGGTTGCTTCAAGTTAAATGAATGAATGAAATTAATTAATATAATCCAGGAAGTCCAGTTTGAGTAACAGATGATTGACTTTGAAGCATTTGTCTACTAGCCTGGAAATCCAGACTCAAATCTAGAAAGATTTTGAGTCTGGCCCTCACAATACACCCTTCCTACCCAAGGAGCGGCACTAACTGAGGCATATTAAATGCCGCCGCACGCAATTGGATAGCACGATAGCCAATCAGAGCAAAAAACAAGGTGACGTATTCATTGCACTAAGTCCCATTGGTTCACCGAACAGTGGGGCTAACTGATATATTTTGCTTTTGCTGTATCCTGTCGGCAAAACGTCAAAAACGTCCTTCTTGGAAGCGAAGGCTTCTAGGGCAGTCTTCTGTTCCTCTCTCAGGGGAAAGATAAGTTGGCTTGGCGTTTCTTCCACAGCTAAATTGAATGGACGCGGTCCTTCAGCAGCTGCCATCTTGGCTGTTTACTTTTCGACTCCCACGGCACAGCGCTGTCCTCATCATGTTACGCCTGCCCAGAGCCCGCCTCTGTCAGATAGACTGATCTGATTGGTCCGATGGCGTTTCAGTGGGCTCTGCTTGTCGGGGCCAAATTAGAATTTGCTAGGGGCGGGGCATGTAGATTTTCAGGTTAGATGTCTACACTATGAAGAAAGATTTTGATGATACAACTCCTGAAAGTTTTCATAGTGGTAGTGGTTTTATTCTCTAACCCAGTGATCACCAAATAAACAGATCAGCATCTGTCCAAAGTCAAAACTAATTGACCCAGAGCTGCCGCCCTGACAGTCAACCAAACGTTAGGCAACCAGAAAGGTCATTAGACAGCAAGATTTCATTGGTCTCTTAGTCACAGAAAAAAAAAAAAGTGAAACTCTATGAGGAGCTGCGCCTTGTCAAAATAAATCCAAACCTATATGACTGGAGCATGTGTGACTTTACTTTGAAAGGACAGACACAGGAAGTGTCCACGCTCAGCAGTCAGACAGGAGTCAGGTTAATTTCCAGGGCTGGTACCTGCGGTTATTCCACAGGCTAGTTAATAACATGTCGGGCAGGAAATCCAAAGTGTGGGATCATTTTGAGAAGGTGAAGGACGAACCCAAGGTGATATGTAAACTCATCTTCATTGGTCGACTACAAACATGACGTATCATCTGAAACATGGAAGTAGCTACATGCCCATTAGCCCACAGCGTCATTAACAGGCGGCTCGCTCAGTGTGTGACGTGCACTTGGAGATAAAATATAGGCCTATATTAATGAAGGTTCATTAGTACGGTTTGTATTTCTCTGTAATGTAGCACAGTGTTAACAATGTTACTGACACTATTCTTTCTCACACCTTCAACTCAAACCACCAAAATATATCAGTTAATCATTACATTCATATCAGAAACATGCAGGAGACTAGTCCACTGATGGACCCTGATGAGGACTGTTGGTCGACTAGGAACAGTGTTAGTCGGGGGCAGCCCTAAATTCACAAGGAATGTGTGCATTGAGTCAGATTCAGCTTTTTATCGGACGACCCTTCATGTTCCTCCAGAGTCTTAGAAATCAACCCGGTCTTAGGTTGTCGAAAACCAGCGCATGGTCAGTGACTTCCAGGGTCAGACTCTGATGAAAAAAGCTGTCCTTACACGTCATTATACGAAATTCAAATCTCTGAATCTGCAGGGAAAAGTGAAACTGAGAAAAGCACCTGGTGCCATAAGTAAGTTCAGTCCAGTTGAGCCAAACCTCGCAGTGGAAATGAGGCATAAGCGTCCCCTGATGCCAGTGGACAGCCACTTATCCTTGACAGCTGATAGAGTCAGCTGTGTGCTGCACCATGATGAGTGTTACTCAGCTTTTCTCTTGTCTTGGCTCATTTCCGCGCTCTTTTGTTCATCCTCCTCCGCTGCACAGCCTCAACCTCCAACACCATCATGCCATCACAAATCACAGTCCGACTAAATTCCTCACAGAAAAGCAGGAAATCAGCTTCTATCTATTCATCCTCAAGGCATTTCAATCACTCCTCATTCTGTCATGGTGGACCTTCAAACGTGGAAGATAGAAACCTTTTTGTCGTGTTCTCTGAGTTATTTGCAAGGTCGCAGTCGGTGATTTTATAACAGCCACCTGAAAAGAGCCAGGAAGTGATGACTGTCAGCGTGTCAGAGAGAGACATTGAGAACAGCTCTTTGTACAAACCTTGTTTCTTTACCGTGTCCTTCTCTGTCTGACAGATCAGGATCACACACATGAACCAGGTCCCCATGTTGCTGGGCCCGCCTCAGAAGACGCCGTTCTTCTTCTTCAAGAAACGCAACCGGAGCCGCGACTAGGACCTGTGCATGCACACAGAAACACACACATATACAGTACACACACACACACACACACACGCCCACTGTACAGGCAGCTCCATCAGAGGACTTGGAGTTTGAAAGTGGGAAGCTCGTCAATGGGATCATGTTGTGGAACATTCTTAACGTCAGGATGCCTACAGACGATTCATTCCCAGAGGAAGCTGCAGTGATGGCACCCGAAATGAACTCTCAGTATACAGTACCGACTTATTCCTGTGTAACCATCCTCCTCTAGTTCTCTAGTCCTCTAGTCTTCGTCCCAGCCATGGATTTAGCTGCAACAGCCAGGTCTCTCAGCCCAAGCCGCCCCCTGCCCAAAAAAACTCAGCCATAAGCCAGTACCGCACTGCCCACTAAATATCCTACAGCCCTGGCTGCTGGGCTTCCCTCGCAGCCCAGAATGAGGAACAGGAAGTGATAGTTTGTAGGATGAGAAAGAAAGAGCTCCAACACACTACACTGAAGAGCGGCAGTGATCGTGGTTGTTTACAAGGCCGGTGAGTAAATAGAGTAAGATCCACCTCTTCGCTAAAACACCTGTATGAATAATGAAACAGCGGTGGCTGGTAAGAGTGCTCGCTGCGGGGCCTCCCCCACAGACTGACAGCACGGTACAGCCGAGCGGAGGAAAAGCCTCATCCATTATTGACTGCTTTTGTTTGTGGGTTGATGGCAGCGGGGCATAGCAGTGGCCTGGAATGGGCTGAAACACGCAGGGATTTTTGTCCCCTTTAGCATCACTGGCCTAAAAAACAAACCCTTTAACACAATATTCAGAGACTGGGGAGATGATCCGGCCGCAGACTTCCGTCAGAGGAAGTTCCTGTTCAGCTGCGCACAGTTATGGCTGCACAAATTGAGTCTAGATTGGAAGTAGAGATTGGAGAAATTGTAGATGCTTTCTTGAAGCTCCAGTGTGTTGGACTGAGGGGGATATGAAAAGTGTGTTTTCATTCGTGTATAATCAGCTGAAAATAAGAATCACTGTGTTCTTGTTACCTCAGAATGAGACATTTATATCTACACAGGGAGCAGGTCCTCGTCTACAGAGATCACCGTGTTGCACCGCCATGTTTCTACAGTCGCCCAGAATGGACAAACCAAACACTGGCTTCATGTTTTCGCCTGGCCGTCATGACACTTCTGAGATGACTAAGTCAGAAAAACACAGATTTTTTTTCAGATTCCTCTGTGGATAATTCAGCTCCTTATAAAAACCTCCTGACCAGCAGGGGCCGGCTGCACAAAACACCTTAAGTCCGACATCAAAGAACTAGCGGCAACGAAAGCCAACTGTTGCGTCGTCTACATCGCCTCACGTCGCCCTGTGTCAGTTGCATTTGAACACAATACACGGACTACATCCAACGGCCAAGTAGCACGTACGTTCTGCGCCTGCGTGAGAGAGAGCGGAGTGAGAGAGTGGTACATCCTGTCAGCCGAGGGGTTTCCTATCTGTGCAGCCGAGCACCGCAGCACCTCCACGGACTATTACATCCAGACGGTCCCGGTGTTTCCTCCGCAGGCTCCACTTCACTCAGCTGCCCGATAAACCCGCTGCTTCTTCCCACTTTAACCTGAATAACAAACCAGGGCTCGGTGCTCCGGTTGGATCCAAACGGAGAGCAGGGGCTAGCTCAGAGACTAGCGGAGGCTAACTGGCTGTGCTTCCCTCCGGTCATGCTGCGGCTAACGCTCCGCTAGCCGCTCCCAGCTAGCTCCGGTTTGTTATTCAGGTTAAAGTGTGAAGAAGCAGCGGGTCTGTGGGGCAGCTGAGTGAAGTGGAGCCTGAGGAGGAAGCACCGGTTAGCCCCGGTTTCACTACAGGCAGATTCACTCGCTACAGGGGCGAGGAAATAAAACCTGAACAGCCAATCAGAGTGATCTCTCTCACCGACAAGCTCCGCCGCCGATTCAACATGCTCAGTCGGCCGAAAAGCCGCCGACGCCGAAGTGCCAACGGTGCAGGACACACCACAAAAACTAGGGCGACAGACGCTCACTGATGGCCGACTTTGGTCGACGGCTGACCGTCGGCTTGGTGTGTCAGGGCCTTTAAGTTTTTCTCCTAATCTCTTTCTCTCTTCTACTTAAGGAGTTACTTAAAGTTTGTTAACTGTTAGCAACCAAAGTAAGGAAAAAAACATAAGGTCCCTCTGACTGCATCTTAACGGCAACATGGCTGAGTTTATGGAGATAAATGAGGAAAGTGAACGTGTCCTGAGAGGAGTGGGAGAACCCCATGGACACTCTTAATGATGAGTAATTGATTTTGCACTAAACATTTGACCAGAGGTCTGAAGTTGGATCAGCTGCGCTCTTCCAGCCCCGTTACAATTAATGATTGCTCTGCGGTTTTATGCAGTCGGTCTTTCCACTCAGTTATTGGCGAGGTGTTTCATGTACACAAGTCAACGGTGTGCCGTGTCACTCACCAGGTTTCAAACACCCTCACCGTCTGCTGGACACTTTGTTGATGTTCCCGTCTAATGTTGCAGTTTCCTCCATTACTTGCTTCATGTTCGCTCTTATTTTCAGATCAAATTGACTTTTCAGTTTGTTCTTTCTTTTATTGGATTCCTCTGATAGTCTGATTTTTTCTTCCTGCGACCAGTTTGGTTTTTGTGTCTTCTTATCGTCTGCCATTTTTTTTACTATCAGACCAACTTTGCAACAGGATACTCAGGTCAGACAACATTTAGACTGGGCTATCACAAGCACACATTCAAGCAAACAAATGGTTTCCATGGAAATAGTTTAGTTTTCAGTGCAGTTAATGACTTAATGTCTTTCCTTGCTTAAGGAAACCTTTTAAGAGATTCTGTGCAACACCCTTAAGTAATTTCCTTAGCTAAGGAAAAACTAAACTTGAAGTGTAGTACTTAAGGAGTAGACTTATGGTGTTTGTGCAACCGACCCCTTAAAAAAAGTGAGCACACACAGCAGGTGTTGGGCTGATTTTTACCATGAAACTGCTTCATTTTTATGTTCGTCTTTACCGTTTCTAATCACGTGATCCGCTTGTTTTGGAGAGGAAGAAACTTGCGGATAATTCGGCTCCTGGTCAAAACCTCCTGACCAATGAACACTGAAGGAATTCTAACCAGGAGAAGTTTCAGCTGGTTGCAATCTGCTGTTGTCACTGCTCAACGCCACTAAAGCCCTGTGAATTTTACACACTGGTTCTTTAAGAAACAAATTTATCCTCTGTGGTTGGTGAGCTTTATCAGCTCCTGTGCATCATGAAGACTCTTCTAGTGGGTCAAGGTTTGAAATAAATCCCCTCAGGGCAATAACAGCAGGGCCCGCTGGGTTTTTATTTACCAGAGCACTGACAGGGGAACTAAATTTATCCCTCTATTTCAGGGAGGGTCCATCTCTCCTCCAGTGAAACCCTACGCCTAATTACCGTGTCAAACATCAGCTCACAATGTCAAGTGTGCTGTCGGAGTGCAGATCCCTGCCCCTTCTGCTTTAATGCATCCACCGTTTATTTAACTGTACACCAAATAAAGAAGTGATGGTACTGAAGGAAACAGACTGAAGATGGACGAAGCAGGGAGCTTAGTTCAGTGTTTATAAAGAATGTATCCATATTACTGCCCCCACAATACGGCAAATTATATTATACAGTGTGTGCAGACAGAGTATATGTATATTTCTGGAAGGTAGGAGTAGCTCACATATACTGTACACACGAATGTGTTTTTAATATATCATTGTTATTAATGTGGAAATCTTAGCATAGAGGGGCTCAGATCAGTGTTCTCACCGTGCAGAGCTGCTGCAGTCAGTCTCTCTCTGAAGACACTTTCCCACTTTGTCTAATTCACATCATTTTAGAGTTGAGTTTTGGGTTGTTTCTTCTTCTGTCCTCAGACTGTAGAAGAAGCAGGAAGAGCAAATGCATCAGCATCGTGTGGGACGAAATAATCTCACGGTTCGTACATGGTCTCCATCAGCCAATCAGGCTAGCTTGTATATCCAACATAGTTTCACTCCAAAGTCGTCAAAAACCGGTGTTTGGTCAGTGACTTCCAGGGTCATGGCAGCATATCACGACACATTCCTGACACTGCAGGGTGGGAAACATGTTAGCATGCTCCTTCCACCACCATCAAACCTCCAAAGGATCCTCCTTGAGTGTCTTGAACTCCATGTAGGCTGCCACCTCATCCTCGGCCTGCAAAGTTTCATGGCTGGAGTCCTCCACGTCGGTGACCAATGTGACCACGGGGTCAAAGGTTACACTTGTGTCACTGACTTTCAAAATAAAAGGACCTGCAGCTTGATAATAGTGATTTACATGTCAGAATATTACACATATACTGCGCATCTTTTTACTTTCTATTCTGAAAAACAAGCGAGGGAGTTCAGGTATCTCTTGTTCATGAGTGAGGGTAGAATGGAGCGTGAGATGGTTCCGTGGTTTGATGCGGCTTCTGCAGTGATGCAGACGCTGTGTCGGACCGTCGTGGTGAAGAGGGAGCTGAGCCAGAAGGCAAAGCTTTCGATTTACTGGTCCATCTCCGTCCCAACCCTCAACTATGGTCATGAGCTCTGGGTAGTGACCGAAAGAACGAGGTCATGGGTACAAGAGGCCAAAATGAGTTTCCTCTGTAGGGTGTCTGGGCTCAGCCTTAGAGATAGGGGGAGGAGTCAGACATCTGGAGGGAGCTCGGAGTAGAGCCGCTGCTCCTTCATGTTGAGGTGGTTCAACATCTGATCAGGATCCTCCTGGTCCAGCTGGTAGGAGGTCCCGGGGCAGACCCAGAACACACTGGAGGGACTATATATCTCATCTGGTCTGGGAACACCTCAGGGTCCTCCAGGAGGAGCTGGAAAGCATCGCTGGAGAGAGGGCCGTCTGGGGTGCTTTGCTCGGCCTGCTGCTCCTCGCCCCAGAGAGTTCATTTTTACCCAGGAATTTATATATATATACATATTTAAATCCACAGCTTTTTGCGTGTACCTGCGGCTACTCGACCTGGTGCAGGACTCTGCCACAAGGTGGGGAATGAACTTCCAAGAAAACGTAGTTGTCTTCATGTTAAAACTCAAACGATCTGATGTGAGTTAGACGTCGGTGGGAAACTATCTTGCACCCTGCTGTAAAGTGTTCACAGTGCGGGGCAGAGAGAGACTGCTGACATGCTCTGATGGTACAAACTGAGCTCCACTGTAGGGTCGGGCGTTCACGCCTTTACAACCCTGTTTCCCTTTAAAACACACTGAGTGTTTACTCTTGCACCCAGGCCCCATGAAACCAGACAAGACGTCCAGCAGATCCTCACACACTGTAGATATTTACCCACACAGCATCAACATCACCTGGTACACAGTTCAGGTCAGTCGCTGTCGCCTGTCTCAGAGGTTAATGTTTAAATACACACCAACTGAAAGCCATTCAACATAACCGGCGTCACTTTGGGAACGTCACAGGACACACACCGTCATCAGTGTCTCCGTAAATGGAGCCTGGGCGCTAAGAGGACTCGGTGGGAAAAGAGTGCATGTTTACAGTAACTTTACATTTATTAAGAGATTTGTTTTAGACAGCTATATTACCAAGTGTATATATTTGTTTATAATATTTTATCTGAAGTTACATCACCGCATGCCTGCTGAAACAAACGGAGTGAACAGGAGAGTGTGAATCAGACTATTCAAACTTATTTCTTTGCTTTAAAACTCCATTTATCTATTTATTTGTTGTGGTTTTCAGTTTTTTCTCTTTTTGGCAGCATGTTATTAACCATGTGAAAGAAAAGGCGGGATGAAGCTGTCTTGTTCCATTAAAGAGAAAGCAGAATTCCCAGATGGAGTTTCTACCATTACAACATCCGTCTGTGATTTATTGTGGAATCAAAGGGCCGCAACATGAACGCCCACACAGCCCATCTCACTGAATTCCCCAATATGTGTCATGGTTCATGTCTGTTCCTGTCCTTTGAAGTAATCAATTTCCTCAACAAATAAATGGACCTGCTCACAGAGACACAGAAAAGTAGAACTCTCATAGAAACAATGATTAATTGTAGAGTGCACTCAAACAGCCAGAGAGGAATTGCTTTAACCTGACTGTCACCAGCCGACCTGCAGCATTCAGACAAACAAATACAGACAGTTTTTATCAGTGTTTGGCAGCACAGTCATTTTTGAGTCATCCTCACCTTCAGTCAGCAGCAGAGGTTGGTTTCCATCATGGTAACGCACTGATGTGATTTACTGCCACTGAGAAGGA